CCGTGTCCTGTTGAACATATTTCATTGGTTGCTCTCAGGATAATATTTACCATAGACAACCAAGTTTGCGGCAAATAGCAAACCTGGAGTAATCTTTTGAGAGCTGATTTGTACCATTAACAACTTATTACTTACCTTGTTTTTATACATCGGAAGAGTCATTCTTAACTTTTACTTATATTAATTTCCTTAATTTTAGGCGCAAATGTAGCGTTGGACAGTTTGCTCCTCTCATTGGAACAAAAAAGGAAGAACTGAAAGAAAGACTGATGGGGCGAGATATTCCATTGAGGTGGTATTCTAGGGAAAACATTGCAATGGAAACATTGAAAGAAGGTTCTGAACACGTAGATCTATATCCTAAGTCTGCACAAAACAATTCTACCTCTGAACCTTCATGTTCTGTTTGTTCCTATCACACCATCTGTTCTTCAGAAACATCAAGAAAACTAAATGGCAGTACTGAATGCATCAGAATACCTAAAACTTCAAATTTGAAAGAAATAGTTTTATCAACAAATTTGGTACAACTACCTCCCCCAAAAGAAGAAAGTAAAGCATATATGAAAAATTTGCCAGAAATTTATGAACACTGTGAGCCACTATCAAGACAGAATTCACAGGGGTTGTCAGTAAACTTAAACTCACTACATACTCAGATCCAAGAGTCTGAGTTTAGTGAACGAAACAACACATCAAAGTCAAAACGAAAATTGAGTAATGCAGTTCTTCTGCCAGCAAAATGTTTAAAGAAAGTAGCTACTCATTTACCAATTGACAAAGAACTTGTTGACTGTAACGTGGTGAGCAATTTTCCAAGAGAACTTTCAATTGCTTTAGAGTCAGAAAAGCCATCATACAGTTTTCCTGCAAATAAAGATCCGATTTTGTTGACGGACATTAGTATACAAAGCTCACCTTCAATAAAACTCAGCAGAAAAGTCATACGTTTCATAGGAAGGAATAAAAAAGGAAATCAAAAACAAAATATGGAATTATGCTTACAGCAGGCAGAGAAGCCACCTGTTCTGGATGAAACAAAAAATGAACAAAGCTCATCAACACAAGCTCTATTACAGTTGTTTCAAACCAGTGATGCAAACTCAGATTTTAGGGGGTTTTCAAGTATACAAGAGAACAAAGATTCAAGTTTAATGAAAAATAGTTGGGAAGACCAGCATACAGATGCCCTCTGGTCTTTGTTTTCTACGTCTCCCTCTTCATCACCATTTACTGGATTTTAATGTTGCTTTATTTAAAACAATGAGTATAGAATAAACGTGCAAACCGAAAAAATGTGAATATGTGTTTCTATAATAAATGATAATAATAATGATTCTTTAAACCACTATGTGCATATTATTCCAACTGGGTTCGCACTTTTGCTGCCTGCTGTTCATTATTTCACTAAATTTGCAGACAGAAATCTGTAGAATCCTTATAATAAATTCTTTCTCATAAGATTCTATTTCCACATATGTATACAGTATAACTTACTGGAAACATCTGTTGCCATGCCTTAGCACATACATGCTAGAGCAGAATCTATATTATAGTGAACCACAAATTTTGCAATGGACAACATTGTCATCTATACATTCCCAGATAAGTCCATTGAATGCCAAGTAATCTGAACAAGACTCATTAAGTTATGTTTATATTGCTTGCATCAATTTATGTCACTTGTGTAATGGCATCATTAAGCAAATGGAATAAATAGCAGTTAATGGCATACTTTCGGATTTAACAGACATTCATGAGTAACAAACACTCCCTTCCCCTAAATTGTCTGTTAAATTGAGGCTTTACTGTAATGGAGAATTAGTATTTCTTAGTATAACAATATGGACTAAGCTCCTAAACCTGGCTAAATGCCTAGCCATAGGCCAGAGGAAGTGACATAAACGGTGCCTTGCCAACATAAGTGCTCTCAGGATAGTGTTTAAATGCTTAGAAGAGTCTGTCAAAATTTCACAGTGGTTGAAATTTTGAGGCTGTTAAAACATTCCTAATCTTCGATCTACAAGATGCAAAGTGTACTTTCTACAGTGTACCCCAATGTGGATTCTTGACCACATTCATCATGTAGCAGATCTAACCTATCTGAACGGATAAAAGAAAAATAAAAATGCACCGCCCTTGTTTAAGCCATATGAGCTTATGGTAACTCTTCACACAGTCTCTCCCTTCTCTAAACATAGTATATTTACTCTCTTTGAGAACAAAAATCTTACAATGTTAAGAAACAGAATATTGTGCTCCGTGCAGAAATCCAACTTAAAACATTCCCAGCAGTTACCTGTAGCTGCCCTTCAGGTGTGTGGACCTCAGTTCTCAGAAATGGCAGTACTGGGAATTGGGAATTCTGGAAGTTGAAGTCCACACATCTGAAGGGTTAGGAAAGATTGTTCTCACTCCTAAAGAGTTTTTAAACATATATATATATTCAACCAGCATCTGCCTTTCTGTTATTTCCCATTATTTTTTGTATCTCTGAAGTGGTAGACACAAGTCATGGCTGCCTTGTATGTAACATCTCTTCAGACAGGTGAAAAGTGCTATCATATTCCTTCTCCCCTGCCCCCTTCAATCTTCTTTGGGTACCCAGTTCTCACCATCTCATTGTAAACTTTGTTTCCAACCCCTAATATTTTTGTTAGCCTTTTCTGAGTCTCTTCCAGTTCATCCAAATTCCTCTTAGTTCTGTGGTGCCAGAACTGGATATGCAATCTGATTAAGTTAAAACAGCATAGAACAAGTATTTTCCCTATTTAGAACAATATTTTTTCTGTTCATCTTGCTGATTACTATATTTAGTCTGATTAATTTCAGTTTCAAGATATTTTACTGCCTACTATTGCCAAGCCAGTTATTCTCCATTTTATACCTATGCATATGATTTTTCCCTGAATAACATGGTTTCTCTCTGTTAAATTAAGAGACAGTGGTTTGAGATGGGCAGCTATATAAATTGAATGAGTGAATGAATGAATGAATAAAATTAAGCTAATTTCAGAACACTTTACTAATCTTTGAGGACCTATCAGATCAATTTGTGCATCTGCATTCTCCCCATCTTGTCACTCAAGTTATAAGAAGAACATTAAAATGTACCTTAAAACTGAACCTGGTTGCATTATGAACCACTGATAACATACTTAAGCTAGCTGTTAGATCCTAATCCTAGATCTAATTCTCTAGATGCCAGCTAGCAAACACTTAAATGTGAGCATTGTCCAAAGCAATGGGAGAAAACAATCTTTACATTTTTGCAAGTTTCTAGTTTTGGTGCCTTGCCTGTAAGTTGAAATACTTTTGAATGTCCCAGATGTTATGATTGCCTTCTGACCTGAACAGAAAAGGAAGTCTTGCTGGATTATAAATTACTATTCTGAGAGATGGTAGAGCAAGTAATTACTACATCCCAATTTGTGACTCACAGAGCTCAATTTCAACATCTGTTAGAATGTTAGAAAATTCTTACTCCCAAAGCTTACGTTATGTTATCAATGTTTTCTTCTGATTGTTTTCTTTTTAAGTTGTATTGTGCTGGATAAATTCAACAGGGTTGCGGGCTGTAAAAGACTTAACACAACTACTCTTCTAGAAAGCCATTTAAAACTCAAGTATGTTGTAGCACATTTTCTCCTTACATGTTGACTGGTTGGGAACTCTGGAAGTTGTAGTCCTGACAAGTCATATGCTGTCTCCTGAGAGCCACTTTAAACAACATATAGTTTATGAATGTCATAGTAATAAAATCGACAATGGCTGGCTGGGTCATAATTTTTAACTATAATCTATTTTAGTTAAAGTCATAATTTTTAACTATAATCTATTTTATAAGCAACAGTGGCCTGGTGCCAAATGTAACTCTAAGCCTTGTTGGCTAGACTTACACATCAAATAAGACATGTGGTTTGTTTAGTTTTGGTATAGGGTTTATTAATTTTAGAAATATATTTCAGAAAATTTATATAATCGCCCATCTTAAGTACATAACTCTGGGTAATAAACAAAATGCTTACAAAAGCAATATAAAAACCTATACCCCATTAAAATAATACAGTCTAAGATAAAAATGAGTAAGAATTGAGGCACCACATAACAATTATATAAGGCCCACACAGAGATCTTGGGCTCCCATAACATCCTTGTGCAATTCAGCCAATTGTGATTTTAAAAAAAAGTAGTTGAGCAACCCATAAGCTTAGAACACGAACTGTAGTGTTGTGCAAACCCAACCAATGTGAAGAGGAGATTCCCAGGAGCTTCTGCCAATAGTAGCTTCCCAATCTATTTTCAGGACTCTTTCTTTCCTTTTACATATTCCACACAAAGAACATAAAATCAGCCTCTGGGCTTCCAAGAAAACCAAAGAAGCTTTTTAGCAAATGTCTACCACTTCATCATTTTTGACTGCTTAAAATACCCATTTCCAGTAATTATTGAACTTTTATTTGATGTGGTGGGTTCACACCTTGCACCAAACCATGGTTTGCACAAACTACAAAATGGTGTGGATGCTAAACCACCAATCATGGTTTATATACACCATAGCAGCTGGAATCACACAACCCACTCCCGGCAGCAAGCAAGCAAATGACATTGTGGCTTACCAGGATGTGCTCAGTCAACATCTAGTAACCCTTTGGATTGTTATTACTGTTTATTTGGCCTGTTCTGTCTCCACATAGACTGGAAAGATAATTTCTCAACTTCAACGAAAAGATCATCCTTGGCGTAGAAACGGGAGCAGTCGGTCGAACTGGAAGTTCCCACCTCCCCAATTTAACTAACTGCATTTCCCAGATTTTCGCTCTCTTACCGTCACCCCCCCCCACACACACACACCTCACCCCACCCCCAGGCCATCGGGTCGCCTTCTCCAGATCGAGGGCGGCGGGATGCAGAAAGGGAGGGCACCCCGCCCGGCCGTGGATCCCTTCGCCCTGGGGCTGAGAAGGAGGAGAGCGAGAAGGGAGGAGCTTGAAGCCTCTGAGATACAGCAAGATACCCAATGCAGTAAAAGCTCTCGACGCGAGCGGAAGCCGGCGGCGCACAATGCAGCAATGAGGCGGTGGCGAGGAGGCGCCTCTCCCCTTAGCCGCCGCCGCCTGGCCGTAGGAGCGCCTTTCCCCTCCCTCACGCAAGCCGCCGGGTGATCCTCGCTTCTCGCGGGCAGCTCGCCTTCCTCCTGCCGCCGCCTCCCCGCAAGAACCAGCCATGCACGTCGCGGCTCCTCTGCTCTCCTTGGCGCTCTGGACCCTCGGAATGCTCTCGGAAGCTCGCTCCG